CAGCCCCCTTTGACGGCCTTTACAGATGGGAACGTGGAACAACTTGGGAGTTTTTGAAGAACTTGCCTAGGATCAAAGAGCCAGACAATGGCAGAGCGTGGCTGAGCACATCTGCACACCACCACCACCACCATACAGTCCTCCTTGCTTTCCTGGGAAACAAGTCTCAGCCCTGATTTATAGCCACAAAATTCGTGCTCAAGACCAGGCTTCTGTCAGTGGCTTTCCAGAGGCTTACCTGTGCTGAGGAATTTTGATGCTGATAAAGTTAAGTTTAAATTTCCCTTTGAGAACTTTCTCTCCCTTTGGCTTTGGGAGAGTCCCTTACCTTCCCTGAGCTTCAGCTTCCTCCAGGAACTGCGGTCCTTGCAGACTGCGTTGGGAGGTGAGGGGTGTGACAGGGAGAGCATCTAGCTGGTAACAGGCTCTTAACCAAGGGCGCATTTTATTATTATAACTGTGTTATGGGCTGGATTGTGTCCCGTCCCCCAAATTCTTATGTCAAAGCCCTAACCCCCAGTACCTCAGACTGCGACTGTATTTGGAAATAGGGCCTTTGCAAAAGTAATTAAGCTAACGTGAGATCTTTAGGGTGAGCCCTAACCCAGTGTGACTGGTGTCCTTATAAGAATCAGAGATTAGGACCCGGACAAGCACAGAGGAAAGAGCACGTGAAGACATGGGGAGAAGTCAGCCACGGACAAGCCAGGGAGAGCGGCCTCAGAAGGAACCACCCCCGCCAACACCTTGATCTTGGACTTCCAGCCTCCAGAACCATGGAGCCACCTTGCAGGTTGAAGCCACCTTGTCTGTAGTGCCTTGTCATGGCAGCCCCAGCAAACTCACACAACTAGCAGCACAGAAGTAGAGAAGTCATCCAGTTTCCCCAATATCTTTTCAGTCTTCACCTCCGTAGGTCGATGCCTCCAGGGCAGCATGCTAGGGCAGCTTCCCCACCCCTCTCTAGCCCCTCCTCCTGGTGATTCTCTCTGGATCCTTTGTGCTGGATCTCATGTTGTCCACGAGAGCACAGGTTCCGTGAAGGAGGACCTTGTGGGCATCTCCAGTGCCTGGCCCCAGGCAAGCATTTACCAAATAGATGGAATATGTATTAATTAGCCTCTTCAAAGTATTCAGAGAAATCGATGTGAAATGTGACCCCACCTCTCAGAGATGTGTTTAGGATCTAGCTTCTGTTGGTAAGTCTTTCTCCTTCCTAGAAGTGAAGTACATATCACCCCCTATTTTGTGGAATATCCATGAATAAAAGAGCTGTCACCTCTACAAAACCCGTCATCTCTTCCGGCACATCAGCATGATTGGGCCTTCACGCTTCAGTTTGTCTCCTTCTAAAAGCGCTCCAGGTGAGTCCGGGGCATCACTCGGGAGGTCGTTTTCACATCCTCCTCCCCACGGCAAAGTCCAAAGGCTGCCTTCCTGTCTTGCGAGGACCAGTGAGCGGCATCCATTTGAAGTGAAATCTGAGGCAGGACAACACCCACGCAATCCTCTTTTACTTGTGAATTTCCCCTTTTTTGAAAAAAAAATACAGGAGATTGTCTGTAAGGATACAGGAAATAGTATTTTAAAATGTATTATGAGTCATGTAAGTGGGAATTTCTCCTTATTTTAAGAAAAGATATAAGAAATTGTCCAGAAGGAAACAAGAGATATATTTTGGGGGAGGAGGGAGATGATTAGGTTTTTATTTACTTATTTTAATGGCGGGACTGGGGGTTGCACCCAGGACCTCGTGCGTGCAAAGCACGTGCTCTACCACTGAGCTACCCCCTCCCCACCAAGAAATATTTTCAAGTATATTAGGCGGTCGTGTAAGTAGTGGCAGAGAGGAAACTGCTTTTCCTAACTGAACCCTAGGGTGATACCTACTTCTTCCTGAGCTCCTAGGGGTCTCGGTTTCAGGCTGATTAGTAGCTCTTGAAACACATGATTAACTAGAGAAAAAGTGCACAGGGCAGGTAGGCAGCAGCTCTTGCCCCAACTTTGTGCCCTGGCGCCCACGTTGCCCTCTCCTCCCTTGGTTGGCACTCACCCTTAGCACCAGAGATGCCCCGCAGTACCCAGGGGCCCTTCCACCACACGTGCCTCCCCCTGCTCCCTGAGACCTTAAAGGAAGGGGCCCTCCCTTCACACACTCACCATCGCCTCAACGCTAAGCACACCGTAGGGTGCCATCCTTGGACTGCGGAACTGAAAAGAAAGCCGGTGTGAAAGTTACCCAGAAGGAAGAAATTGTCTGGAGCCCTTTCGACGTGAAGGAGTTAAGGAGAGACTTAAATGCAAACTACTGGCAAATGGAAAGGAGATAAAGAAGGGATGGTGTCCAGACTCCTGTCAGGAAATGGTTAAACTGGATCACGTGGTGTCATCTGAGGTTCCTAAGGATTCCTTTATCTTATGCTTTAATATTGTGTGTCCCAGAAAGGATACTCGCAAAGAACTTTTAAACATGTGAAGTTTTTTTTTAAATTGAAGTATAGTTGATTTACAATGTTGTGTTAGTTTCAGGTGTTCAGCAAAGTGATTCAGATATATATATATATTCTTTTTCAGATTCTTTTCCATGATAGGTTATCACAAGATATTGAATACAGTTCCCTATGCTGTACAGTAAGTCCTTGTTGTTTATCTATTTTGTATATAGTAATGTATAATCTGTTAATCCCAAACTCCTAATTTATCCTTCCTTGCATTTTCCCTTTCATAACTATAAATTTGTTTTCTATGTCTGTGAGTCTATTTCTGTTTTGTAAATAAGTCATCTGTATCATTTTTTTAGATTCCACATATAAGCGATATCATATATTTGTCTTTCTCTGTCTGACTTACTTCACTTAGTATGATAATCTGTAGGTTCATCCATTAAACATGTGAAATTCTTAAAAAGACCATTTGATTTTAAGAAGGTTGATTTTTGGAAACATATCTCAACATCATAAAAGCTATATATGACAAACCTACAGCCAGCATAGTACTCAATGGTGAAAAAGTCAAAAGCTTCCCACTAAAATCTGGGACAAGACAAGGATGCTCACTATCATCACTCCTATTCAACATAGTCCTGGAAGTCCTAGCCACAGCAATCAGGCAAGAGAGAGAAATAAAAGGGATCCAAACTGGAAAAGAAGAGGTAAAAGTGTCACTATATGCCAATGACATGTTACTATATATGG